TATACCTCAGCACAGTGCTTTATAGCCCTCTCTAAGCAGTTTACAGAGTCAGCGTATTGCCCCCAACAATCAGGGTCCTCATTTTACCAACCTCGGAAGGATGGAAGGCTGAGTCCACCTTCAGCCCGTGAGAATTGAACTGCTGGCAGGCAGCAGAATTAAGTCTGCAATACTCCATTCTAATCTGTGGAACATCAACTCTGTGGGGGTAAGATTGGCCCCTACTTAGGCACCCTGTCATAAGGCCCTGAAGCAGGGGGTTTGCAGGGGTTCAGGAGAACCTCTAGCTAAGATTCTGTGCAGTTCGGAGAACCCCCAAATCCCACTCCTGAGGGAAAGGATTGGCTCAAGGTCACGCAACTGGCTTCGTGCCATTAAGGCAGGACTAGGACTAGCTGTCTCCCGGTTTCCTTCCTTAACCACTACTTTAAACTGGTTCTCTGAGGTTTCTGTCACCAAGGTGATTGTCACCGTTCCCTGTGTGACGTTTAGCTCAAATTATTCCCTGCCCTGCACTTCCACACCCTCCCCTACAGTTCTCAAAATAGCAGTTCTGCCAGAAAAGGCTGGGAGCCAAAATACTAATGGCTACTGTGAAGAAAAAGGCACAAAAGCTGCCAACAAGCAGGAAATTGTGATTCAGGAACAATCGGCTTCTCTGCCACGTCTCCTGCAATGAGCTTTGATGCCTAGTTATTGTGGCAACATGTAAAAAAAAAAAAGAGCGAACTTATTTTTTTCCCCTTTAAGTATAACATTAAGCCCATGCCAAGGGCATCTGAGATGCCTTCATTACATGGTTGCTAAATCCATGCTCTGCCCATCCGTTGTCAACCCTGATTTTAAAGCAAAGAGGATGTGTGAGGCTGTATGCTTAAAAATAGATTAGCCAAGCCACACTTCTGCAGCCTGGATTGCAACTTGTATTTCAAGGCAAGAGGCATTATTATGTCTATGATGGCATTACCGTATTTTTCAGAATATAAGACGCACCTTTTTCCCCCCCTAAAAGGGGGTGAAAATTTAGATGCTTCTTATACACCTAATGTAGCCCCGCCCACCCACTGGCCCCCACCCTTTGGCCTCTGCCTCCCAGCAATTTACCTCCTTGAGGCAAGCAGTAAGAAGAAACAGCCCATTTCAGCTTCAGCACAACCTAATTAGCACAAGCTGATTGTCCCTTGGATCGGCCTCCTGACTCTCAGCTGTTTTGCGCAGGCCTCTGCTGCTTGCTGCAAGGAGGTAAATTGCTGGGAGCAGATTTTTTCTTCTTGTGCTAATCAAGCTATGCTGAAAACGGAAATGAAAGTAAAGCGGGCTATTTGCTGTTTGCTGCAATGAGGCAAAATTGCTGGGAGGCAGAGGCAGATTTCTTTTTCTTGTTTTCCTCACCAAAAAAGGTAGGTGGGTCTTATAGTCTGGAGCGTCTTATACTCCCAAAAATACAGTATATCCCAAGAGCACTAGAATACAGATAGTCCTTGACTTACAACCATTCATCTAGTGATCATTTGAAGTTACAACGGCACTGGGGAAAAAAATTTACAAATGACCAGTCCTCACACTTATGACTATTGGCGTATCCCCACAGCCATGTGATCAAAATTTGGGTGCTTGGCAACCAGCTTGTGTTTATTGCAGCATCCCAGATCATGTGATCAACATTTGCCATTTTCCCATCTGGTTTCCACCAAGCAAAGTCAATGGGGGGAGTCGGATTTGCTTAACAACTGTGCAAAAAGGTTGTAAAATTGGTCGTGGCTCACTTAACAACTGCCTTGCTTAGCAATGGGATTCTGATTCCAATTGTATTCATAAGCTGAGGACTGCCTTTACATGAAGCTGTCCTACAATATGTCATAATATCAGTTGCACGTTATGTGATGCTCTTATCTGTGTGCCCATCACCTACCAGCGTGCTTAGAAAATAAGGTGGAGCCACACATTCAGCAATTTCTGTCTTTGAAACCTTGGAGTAAACATATGAATCCCGAAAGATTTCAAGTTCAGAGAAATATGACATGCATTGTAAAAGCAGCTTTCTGAAACAAAAGTAAGAAGAGATGCAAAATTCCAGCTAAATCGAGATTCTTCTTAGTCACTCTCAGTATCAGAAACATTTATAGAGGTCTGAATCAGGGGTGAGTTCTACTTACCTTTACTACTGGTTTGCAACGGAGCATGCGCAGAAGCGTTTTGATGACGTCAGGGTCGGTGGGTGGAGCCTCCCACCGGTTTTACTTCTGGTTCTATAGAACCGGTGCGAACTGGGGGCAACCCACCGCTGGTCTGGATTCTCATCTGGTGCTCATCTTGGTTGCTTTTTTCCAGATGTTTCATTACCCAACTAGGTAACATCATCAGAGCTAGGAGGAAGTGGGGTTTGCTCTATGTTTATATACCAATGGCTTGCCCTGTCACACACACAGCCTGGTTGCGAATAGGCCATTCTGATTTATGAGAGTGCCAGCCTTCCAGGAATTCTTTAGCGTCTTTGGATGTGGCTTGGTCTAGGACAGTGATGGTTAACCTTTTTGCCCTCGCGTGCCAAAAGCGGGGGGAGCGCAGGGGGGTTGCACGCCAGTGTGTCCACACCCATAATTCAATGCGCCCTACCCGCTGCACATGTACGCGCAACCCCCCCTCCCCGTGCAATCCCCGCTTTTGGCACGCGATGGCACGATGGGCCCAGTAGGCCCGTTTTTTTGCCCTCCCCAGGCTCCAGAGGCTTTCTTGGAGCCTGGGGAGGGTGAAAACAGCCTCCCCAACCCTCCCGGAGGCCCTCTGGAGACTGGAAACAGCCCATTTCCTGACTTTCGGTGGGCCCAGAAGGCCCGAAAATCAGCTGGTCGGCGCACGCATGCGCACTGGAGCTGAGCTAGGGCAACACTCATGTGCCCACAGAAATGGCTCCACGTGCCACTTGTGGCCTGCGTGCCATAGGTTCGCCATCACGGGTCTAGGACAAAGGTCGGCAACCTTAAACACTCCAAGAGCCGCAAAGGTCCTAACCGGAAGCCCTTCGTTCAATCCTGGAGCCGACCGGAAGTCTGGTTCCCCCCACCATAGAGTCTCCTCCTAGAGTGGCATCCGTTTTCCTCTACCTGTCCTAACCAAAAGCCCTAACAATTGTGGAGCTGACCGGTGACAGGGAGCCGCAGAAGAGGGATGCTTTGCTCCAGTGAGGCATCTCTGAAATTTTGTTGCAATGGGCAGCGTTTGGCTGCAGAGCTTAATGATTGTGGTCTGGAGTGCAGATTCTTGCAATGCCTCCTCAAATCCAGAAGCCAATTTCAGAGCCAGTTTGGTCCAGCGGTTAAGGCTTGAGCTGGCTTGAGTCAAATCTTAAACGGATTTTAAATTGGAATGTTTTAATTACGGCCAAAATTATTTAATTATTTTAAACAGATTTTAGATTTTGTATGTTTTGTATGTACGTCTTGTTTTTACTTTGGCTGTTCACCGCCCTGAGTCCTACATTGGAGAAGGGCGGTATAGAAATTTAAACAAATAAATAAATAAATAAAATAAATAAGGCACCAGGTAGAAACCAGAAAACCATGAGTTCTAGTCCTGCCTTAGCCATGAAAGCCTGCTGGGTTTCAGCCCAATCCACCTCATGGGGCTCCTGTTGTGGGGAAAAATAGGAGGAGGAAGATGTGTTGGATAGGTTGATCGCGTCGAGTTCTTTGCAAAAAATAATAAAAGTGGGATACAAACAAACAAACAAACAAATAAACTAATCCCAACTCAAAGTAATAACATTCATACAAGTCCTAGTGAGGGCTATATTAACATACAGCAAGCTCAGCTCTTTATTCTGTTACTTACTCTAGTCCAGTGTTTCTTGGCCATGGCAACTTTAAAATATATGGACTTCAATTCCCAGAACTCCTCAGCCAGCCATCTTTAAATTGTGATGGTTGAGAAACATTGTTCTAGATCAGAGTTTCCCAACTGTGGCAATTTTAAGATGACACATAGCTGGTTGGGGAATTGTGGAAATCATGGGAGTTGAAGTCCATAATGTCTTAAAGTTGCCAAGGTTGAGAAACACTGCCCCAGACAAGAGTTTCTTAAAATGTGGTTTTAGGATCCTTTGAACCTTCCAAGGGGCTCTCAGGGGTTTAGGAAATCAAATTTATTTGCCAGCCTATGTTGAAAAATAAGAAATAATATTAAAATCCCATCAAACAATTGTAAGACGTGGTAGCAGCAAATGTGTTAATTTGAATTAGTAATTCAGCAAATATTGAGCCTTGGTGGCGCAGCAGACTAAAGTGCTGTTAAGTAGCACCAGCTGCCTGCAATTACTGCAAGTTCAAATCTCACCAGGCTCAAGGTTGACTCAGCCTTCCATCCTTTCGAGGTAGGTAAAATGAGGACCCGGTTTGTGGGGGCAATAAGCTGACTTTGTATAAAAAAGAACACTGCTTAGGGCCCCCCCGAAAGCCCTACTGAGCAGGTATATACAAAAGTATGAATTAATGCTTAATGCATTGTAAGCCGCCCTGAGTCTCCGGAGAAGGGCGGCATATAAATTGAACCAAATAAACAAACAAACAAACAATAAATAATATTGATAAATATAAAAGTGGGAAAGAATTCTGAAGGAAAAAGTTTAAGAAACACTGGTTATATTGACACCTACAAAGATACTTTTCCTCGGCAGTCATATATATATTTATTTTTCTACTATGTTATAATCGTTTTAAATCATTTTTAATGCTTTTACGCTGCGCAGAGTCATTTGCTTAAGATGGCTGCCTATAGAAATTAAATAAAATGAATAAATAATAAATACATAAAAAAAGAATACTTCATCCTTTCATTTTCACAGTACCAACATTTCCTAGCTCAATAGAAAACTCATCACTCGAACCCACTCCAGCTGCTAAAGTCCTTGGTCTCTACCTAAAATAATTTTCTCCGCTGATTCCCAGGATCTATGGAAGCAAAGCTCTTCACCAAATATCAGATTCCTTTTTTTTTTTTTTTTTGGGAATAGTCCGCTTCCTCTTCTACTTTAATGAAGCTGGTAGTCACACTCATTCCGCCTAGCTAGCCTACCCTGCAGGATTGTTGTTCTAGTTTGGGGAGGGGGGGAATGAGAATGGGAAGAGGAAGCGCCATATACGCCACTGTGAGCCTCCAAAAGAAATATATGACATATAAGCTATAAATCTAACCGCGTAATAAATCAGATGCCCGACTGGGATCCGCGTTCAGGGCGAAGCTAGCCTTCCTTTAAAGTTCTTTTAAACCACCAGGGGGCGCCATTGCCCTTAGCAGCAGCAGTTTCATTTCGGCCAATCCGGAGTCACTCCGGTTGAGTTTTTAGAGATTCCGAATCGCTCTCCGGCTTCCCGAAGGCTGACCTCGATTTTTTTCGGGCGAGACGCAGCCGAGAGAAGGAATCCGTCCTCCTCCCGCCAGCTACGAGGGGCGCAAGATCCTCTCTTGAATTTTGCCGGAGTTCAAGAAGTTTTCCCACGGCGGTAACCGCGGAGGAAAGCAAAGGGGAGGAGAAGATCGCACGGTCCGGAAAAGGGGAGGAGAAGATCGCACGGTCCGGAGCAAAGCCAGGGGCTGCCTATCCGACCTGCCCGTCTCCCGGTTCCGCGGATGCTTGGCCAAACATCCAGGATGGAGAAGCTGGGGGTGGCCCTGCGCAGCAACAGCCTGACCTTACCCGAAATCAGGTACCCGCCGCATCCCGGGTCTGCGCCCTTAGAGGCGAGCCAGCGCTCCCAGTCTTCCCCGGAGACCGCGTGGCTGCCCTGGCTAAGGATCAACCCTCAACCCCTTCCCCAATTTTAAGCCAACCCAACCCTGAGACATTAAGCCAAGCTTAAATTTCCTGACCTCCTGATGCCCCCCAGCAAGCTAACCAGGTTTATTTTTGCTCCCCTGTGGTTTCAATCTAAATAGGATCTCTTGCGACCCTTTCGCTATAGACTTCGGAGGATCGCCCTCTAATTTAAACTCCCCCAACTAAAGAAACCCTGTTTCTACTTCCAGATGAACCCCCCCTGTGGTCCGATCCACTCATCCCGGCAAATTTATTCCATTCTTTCTTTCTTTTTTTTTTGGCACTCAGACATGAGTAATAAAGGAAAAATCCCCTGTTTGTTTCATCCCGCTGCTTATTATAGATGGCCTCACAATTACAATATTTCCTTTTAAGAGTATTCTTTTTTTTGACCCAGCATGCTTGTTTTTTTGGGTGGGGGGTACGTTTTGAGCTTATAAGTAAGTTTCTTTTTACTTTGCTAAGTGATGGTTTCGTTTTCTGTTTTGTATTTTTTTTTTAACATGACTTTCAGGAGTAGTCTGATCTAGCTCCCTCTAGTGGAGATGGAAGCCTGATGCCTACGTGGAGATAGCCATGTAGCTCTCTTGGAAAATTGTGTAATTGCTGCTTCCTGGATTTATAAGCAGAATATAAATATAAAATGTATGTGCCTCCTGACTCTCAGCGACTCTGGTTGGTTTATAAATGACATAAAATATATAAACAAGACAATAGAAGCCACAAGAAACAAAAGGGGTAGGAAGGAAGCAGTGGTGTACAAATGATTTAAAACATAAAAAAGACAATAAAAATAACAACCAACAAAAAAAGAATAGAGGTGAGACAATAACAAACCAGGTGGAATTTTGAAGTTCATGTTTATTTGTTTGTTTGTTTGTATCCTGCCTTTATTATTTTTACAAATAACTCAAGGTAGTGAACATATCCAACACGCCTTCCTCCTCCTATTTTCCCCACAACAACAACAACCCTGTGATGTGGGCTGGGCTGAGAGAGAGTGACTAGTCTAAAGTCACCCAGCCGGTTTTCATGCCTAAGGCAGAACTAGAACTCACAGTCTCCTGGTTTCTAGCCTGTTGCCTTAACCATTAGACCAAACATATCTCTTCCATTTTAAAGAATAATTTCTAAATTGTGTTTCTTGGTTGGCCTTATGGTCTGAGGGAAAAGGCAAACAAAATGAAAAAAATTATTCCATTCACAAGTTGAATCCATCACTATTTTTAATATATGTATATTAAATATATAATATAAGTTTATATATATGTATGTATGTATGTATGTATGTTTGTATTGTACTTAGAATTTTTGTTAAAAATTTCAAGGATAGCACATAGTATTTTAATGTATTGGAGTTAGGTCAACCCTCTTGGTCATTGCAAGACAAGATCTTTGGTTGCTCTGATTGGAAATCCTAAGAATTGGAGGTCCAATCCTGCTGGAAGATACCAGATGATGTGGAGAAGGCAGAACCTGACCCTAGAAACTCTGATCGTTTACTGGTTGTCTGTATTCTTTCTGAGCTGAAATCTAGAACCTAATAGATCCTCTACGTGAAGAGGCAATCTTCCTCTGAATCTCACATTCTAGAACTGGTTTTCAATCTGTGGTCCATAGACCCCTGAGGGGAAACAATGTCATCACAGGGGGTCCATAAATATTTGATGCAGTCTAGTGCTTTAAATCTTGAATTAAGTCTTGGGGGTCCGTGGCAGTGGTAGGTTGCTACCGGTTCGCCCCGGATTGGGCAAATCGGTAGCGGTGGGAGGCTCCACCCACCCACCTGGATGCTTCTGCGGAGGAGCATCGCGCTCACATGAGCAAGCGAGCGCCCATGAGCAAATTGGTAGTGACGGGTTTTGAAACCCGCCCTTGGTCCGTGGCCACAAAAGGTATTTAAAGGGGTCCATGGTGAAGAAAAGGTTGAGAACCACTGTTGTAGAGCAACGTTTCTCAACTTTAACATGATTGGACTTCAACTCCCAGAATTCTACAGCCAGCTTGAAGTCCAGACATCTTAAAGTTGCCAAGATTAAGACATGCTATTTGAGAGATATACTGCAGGAGAAGGCTCTTAATTCGTTCCTTCTGGGCTTCTTGAAGCCATGTTGTTGTCAACATTTAGAAATGGGATGGTTGATTTATTTTAACTGCTGTAGAGAATGCAATCTATATAGCACTCCCTCCCCACAAGAAATCTGCGAGCTAGGTTGGATTAAATGAGAAGGACTAGTCCCTGAGTCCTCCAGGAAGCTCCTCTGGTTGAAGGAGGATTCAAATGGGTCTCCCCGTTCCTTGTCCAGTAGCTTCATCCCTGGACCACCTTGCTTGTGGGGCTGAGAGGAACCAGCTGGCCCAAAGTCACCCAGGATGCTTCTGTGGCTGAGGGGGACTCGAACCCAAGCCACTCCACCTGCTTTTAGCCCACCACATTCACACACTCTCACTGGATTACATCATATTTTAGTTTAAACCATTAGAACAGTGTTTCTCTGTCTTTGCAACTTTAAAATAGATGGACTTCCATTCCCAGAATTTTTTCATGCTCACTGAGAGATTTCTGGGAATTGAACACCACATATCTTAAAGGTGAGAGACATTGCATTAAGGTTTGAACCCATTCAACCACAAACCACTTCTTGCTAGGTGTGGTTTAATTTTAGATCACAATCATTTTACGATTTTACATGCAAGCTTGCAGAGATACCTAGAGGCAATGTGCATCGGCATATAAAAGCTAACTTTTTATTGGTTTCCCAGTGTGGGATGTTTGGAGCTTGCAAAAAATTGAGGAGTCCTGACAAGTCAGAGCCTGTATCCCCACACACAACCCCAGACAATAAAAATGATGGCAGGTATTGAATCCCAACTCCCAGAGGTTTCGGCTTTCACTAAAGAAAATTACTCATAACTCTGTTGTTTCAGTACTTTTTATTCAGAGGAGTTATTATTTCTTCAGCACAATTGCTCTGCAGGAAATTCAGCTTACAGAATTCTATCTCACCGGGAAAGAAATGCCATGCTGACAGAAAGAAGAAGCTTGTTTAACGTGATTTAAAATACAGATAGTCCTCGACTTACGACCACTGTTGTCCTAAGTTCAGGAGAAAGGAAGTAGATGCATTATTTATATTTGAGTTACTCACTTTGGCTGCTGTCAGTAATGGAAGGTTCTAATTCTTCCTGCTTATTTTGATCCTGTGATGGAAAAACACAGCTAAACCAAGATTGCCAGGATGTGTTGAGGCTGATTTAAATCCGGCTCTGGACTAGCTGGACTTTAACTCCCATTAGGAGTTAGTTAATAGTTACACTCTAGGGCAGGGGTGTCAAACTGGATTTCATTGAGGGCTGCATCAGGGCTGTGTTTGACTTGAAGGGGCTGGGATGGGCATGGCCAGCACAATGTCACTCGTGTCAGGGGCACCTGTGGTGGCCAAGGGCTAAAGCAGGACTTCCCTCAGTGGTGAAATCTTCCCCGGTTTGCCACCGGTTTTCTGCCTGCGCATGCGCAATGCATGCCAAATGCACGCTGCGTGCACACGCATGCACAGTACATGCCAAACACATGCTGTGCATGCATACGCAGTGCACACCAAATGCACACTGCTTGTGCGCATACCCAGTATGTGCCAAACGCATGCTGCGCACAGAAAAAAGAGGCTTGGGAAGGTAAGTAGAACAGCGAGGGGGGAACAGCTGTGCCGCGCAATTTAAATCACGTGGCACAGCTGATCGTTGGAAATACCGGTTTGGACCAACTGGTAGCTTTTTTTTAATACCAGTTCGCCGAACCGGTAGCTTTTATCACTATGGGTTCACCTGAACTGGTGCGAACCGGTAGGATTTTACCACTGCCTCAGACCATCCCTCATTCTCATAATCTTCCTTCCTTCTTTCCTTCCTTCCTTCCTTCCTTCCTTCCTTCCTTCCTTCCTTCCTTCCTTCCTTCCTTCCTTCCTTCTCTTCTTTTTCCTTCCCTCTTCATTCTCCTATCTTCTTCTTTCCTCTCTTTCCTTATTTTTCCTTCCTTGCTCTCTTCCCATCCTTCCTTCTTTTTCTTTCTTCTTTCCCTTTCTCCTTTCCTGTCCTTTCTTGCGTGCTCAAATGAAAAAAGGGGAAACATTTCTCCTTTTGCTTTGCTTGTAGTTTGTTTTACTAGCCCTCTGCCAGTGAAAAGGGAGCTCAGGGAGGCCATGTACAGCCCCTGAGCCCTGTTTTCAGCCGCGATAGCCTCCTGCAGCCTCTGCCAGCGAAAACAGAGCTCTGGGCAGTTTTTGGTGGCAGAGGGCTTCAGGAGGCCATTATGGCCGAACACAGAGCCCGGGAGGGCTGCAGGAGGCCCTCTCAAGCTCCATTTTCGCTGGCAGAGGCACCACGGGCTGGTCCTTTGCTGTTTCCAGTGCGGCCCTGTGTGCCAGATCTAAACACCCTGCGGGCCAGATACGACCCATGGGCCTTGAGTTTGATACCCCTGCTTTAGGACAATGTTTCTCAACCTTGGGAACTTTAAGATGGGTGGACTTCAACTCCCAGAATTCCCCAGCCAGCATGACTACTCTAGGAGGATACTAGTGTGCTTCTTAATTGCCAAGCAAGCCAGTTGGCAGAACTGCACCTCCACACTGCAGCCAAACTTCCTTTGGGAACAGATCCCTTGGGGCTTGCCGGAGAATCTCAGGAATGTGGAAGCCATCCGACTGGGTAGATTTGTGTTTCAGATCCTGTTTTGCAAAGCATCTCAAGCCCTCATCCAACACTTAACCATTTCCAGTTAATAAGTATTCCATCTTCCAAATTATTCAGAGGCCGGATTTCTTTTATCCCCTTTATTTGTGTGGCATTGTTGATATATTTATGCCTGTAAGCATGACGCGGTCTTTTTGGTTTTTGAAAGACAACTTTTTAATATTTCATATTGCTCTTTCTTAAGTTGTATATTTGCACCATGAATATCTAATTGGGAAGTTCCTGCACAGGTTGTCCTTAACAACCATTCCTTTAGTGACTGTTGAAAGTTACAACTGCATTGAAAAAGTGACTTACAAACAACTTACAGGGTTTGCTGCTATTGTACAGATGTTGGATAACCATTTGTCTGAAATTGTGTAGGGTTTCCTGCAGGGTGGATTTGATTTAAATCGAATTGATCTAAATCACAATTTAAATCATGATTTAAATCACTAGTAAAAAGGCTTGATTTAAATCAACTCGATTTAAATCATAATTTATAATTTATAATTTATTTATAATTTATAATTTATAATTTTTATAATCATAATTTTTAAAGAGCAACTGTCATCTCTGCTACTCCTTTGACCCACCTTTGACTCACCGATAGTCCCAGTGTTGCAGAATATACAGCCTCCTGCTACATAAGCCTAAGCTCCATTTCATGCTGAATAAACGAAATTATTTCTGTATCTTAAATAGAAAACTATCTTACGATAGATTTTTACCCCAAAAGTTTTTTATTAAAATAAATTTGATAAAAATCAAAAAAATTCGATTTAAATCAAAAAATCCGATTTAAATCAAAAAAATCTGATTTTTTTTAATTTTTTTAAAAAAATCATTGATTTTTATCCACCCTGGTTTCCTGCTCGAGCAGGGGGTTGGACTAGAAGACCTTCAAGGATCCCTTCCAACTCTGTTATTCTGTTAACCAGACCGTGCACTTATGACTACCAGACCATTCCCACAGTCACTTCATCAAAATATTGTGCTGTTGGCAACCGGTATGTATTTACAATAGTTGCAGCATCCATCCTGGGGTCATCTGATTGGCATTTGTGATTTTCCCAGCTGGCTTCCGACAACCAAAAATCAATGGCGGAAACTGGATTTGTTTAAAATGCGTGATTCATTCAAACAAGTGCAGTGATTTGCTTAACAGATATGGCAAAAAAGATTGTAAAATCGGCCGCAACTCACTTAACAGCCACTTGCTTATCAACAGAAATTCTGATTTCAATTGTGGTCGTAAGCTGAGGACTACCCATAGTGAACGTTATACCTGCAGAGCAGAATCTCCCCTTATAGTCCTTCTTTGTTGCTTGCCTTTTACAAGGTAGACTGCTCCATGCATCGAGATTCCATTTGGCTACTACGGTTATTTAGCTAACATAGAACAACAATAGCGACATTTTTGCTTCGTATGGTCTGTTGACTTTGACAATATCAGCAGATTTGGCCTTTATAAGAATATGTAATTTAATAAAGGTAAAAGTTTCCCCTGTCCAGTCATATCCGGCGGTGTTCAACAGGCCAGATGAAAAATTCATCTAAACTTGATTAAAAGCAAGACCAAAGGGAAGAGTCATTCCTTCTGTGTTTAATCCCAAACAACTAGTATTCAGAGGTAGACTATTCCGGAGCATGGAAGTTCCCTAAACTAATTGCTGTTTTATACTTCGTTGAGAGTTAAAGGCCATGCCAAGTTGCACCCAGCAATAGTTTTCCATTCTTGTCATCTGCTCGGCAGCCAAGATCTCAGGGCTTGTATTGGGGCAGGGCTACTTATGAATGCTCACTTAATTGATGGAAAGATAATTGCTTTGGGTTAATGACAGCCCGATGAGAAACTGCTTGATGCAGAGGATCAAAAGCCAAGCAAAACAAAACCGAACGAGGGCAGAAAGAAGGTGCTTCTCTTTTTCACCGCCGTAAAACTTTTCGCTTCGCTATTTCGGCAGCACCGTTCAATTCGGGGTTGTTTTTTTTTTTTATAGCTATCCAGTTGACGGGCTTTTAAGACTCGGTTAGGAATTCTGCTCTCTCCTTATTTAACTAGTTTTATCCTATTTCTACGGCCCTTCCCCCTTTCTTGAAGGCTCTTGTACACAATAACATCTGAGCCTTAGGGGGATCATCTGTGTAATGGGCGCAGTGGAAGCGGCTCTGTTTGGGATGATGGTGACGGGCAGTTACTCACCAGGATGATTCCGGATGAGGAATGCCGGTATCCACCTGTGGCTGGAGGTGAGGGAGGACCGAATGACACAACTGACCATATCTTGTTCTTCTCCCAGCTGCATCCCTGATATGTCCGGAAAAAACCGAAAGAGCAAAAGGAGGATGTCAGAGCAGAAAAAGTCCTACAGCCTGGAAGAGTTTGTTGCCGAGGGGTTCCGAAATGAACACAATGCACTTTTGACTCGGTGAGTCTGGGTAGCCCTTCCAAAGAAGATCCCTGCCGATTGAATCAGATTATAAAACCCATTTAATGCCAGCTACTCCATTCTGGCTAGGCACTGAAGTCCAGCAGTGGGTTATTGCACTGTGGGGAGGAAAGATAGGATGAGTATTTATTTATTTATTTATTTTATTAAATTTCTATACCGCCCTTCTCCCGAAGGACTCAGGGCGGTGAACAGCCACAAGATAAAAACACATAAATACAAAAATTTAAAATCAAATAAAAATGAATTAAATAATTTGGCTGAATTTAAAATACCCCATAATTTAAAACAAATTAAAATTTACAATTAAAAAGGGGAGAGGATTTAGGCCAGGCCAGCTTGATGAAATAAAAAAGTCTTAAGTGCGCGACGGAAGGTGCGCAGATCCGGGAACCTCCGTATCTCCGGGGGGAGTTTGTTCCAGATCGTAGGTGCCCCCACAGAGAAGGCTCTCCCCCTAGGGGCCGCCAGTCGACATTGTTTGGCCAATGCCACCCAGAGAAGCCCCTCTCTATGGGAGCCTACTGGCCGGTGGGAGGCTATTGGTGGTAGCAGGCGGTCCCGTAGATAACCAGGGTGGATGAGTAGGGTGGATGATCTCTCTAGTCCAGGGGTGTCAAACTCTATTTCATTGAGGGCCGCATCAGGGTTGTGTTTGACCTCGGAGGGCTGGAGGGAGGGTATGGGGGTGGCGGGGGGTGGGTGTGACACGAGACTCGTGGCGGGGGCATCTGGGATGGCCAAGTACTAAGGCAGGACTTCCCTGAGATCCTCCCTCCCTCAATATTTCCTTCCTTCCTTCCTTCCTTCCTTCCTTCCTTCCTTCCTTCCTTCCTTCCTTCCTTCCCCTTCTTGCATGCTCAAATGCAAAAGGGGAAACATTTCTTCTTTTGTTTTGTTTTTAGTTTGTTTTGATCGTCCTCTGCCAGCAAAATCAAGGCCCCGGGGGGGGGGCTGCATGCGGCCCCTCCTGCCTGTTTTCAGCTGTGATGGCCTCCTCTGCCAGCTGCCCCACGCACGGGCTCTGTTTTTGTTGGCAGCGGCATTGTGGGCGGGTCCTTTGCTGTTTCCAGGCTGGCCCTGCAGGGCAGATCTAAGCAACCCGCAGGCCGGATGCAATCCTGCGGGCCTTGAGCCTTGCTCTAGTCCAACTTGAAGAAATCCAAGTGATAATTTAATCCAGTTATTAGATTAATCCTTGCTGGATTTACAGGAGATACAGAAAATATACTAATCGAAAGGACAGAGTTCGCAATCTAGATAACCCACAGGAAAACTTACCTAGAAATAGGGAGAAATTTCCTGACAGAACAACTATCAGTGGAAGGCTTGCCTTCAGAAGTTGTGGGTAATTCATCACTGGAGGTTTATGGAGATTTTCAGTCATCCAAGTCATGGTTGTCCCAAAGGTTGGCTTTTCAAAAACCAACTGGACTTTGTTTTTCCTTGAAGATGCTTCCTTCTCATCCAAGAAGCTTCAGAACTGAAGAAGCTTCTTGGATGAGAAGCAAAATGTCTTCAAGATAAAAACAAAGTCCAGTTGCCCTTTGAAAAAGCACTTTTGGGATATCCACCGCTTGAGTTTTTAAAGAAGAGATTGGACATCCATTTGTCCAGAATTGTAGAGGTGCTCCTGCTTGAGCAGGGGGTTGGATTAGAAAACCTCCAAGGTCCCTTCCTACTCTGTTATTCTGTTAAAAAATCAACCACACTTAGTGTCAGGATTCGGTGTCGTCTCAAATAAACTGCATTTCAAACCAATAGTCCTTGATGAAAATCTTTCATTTATTAGGCACAACAATCGAAACTCCGACTCAGTTGCAGCCAACACTGACTTCCTGGTCCAAACCCACCCTTTCCTTTCCCCACTGCTCTGCTTCTCATTGGCCATCTTCCAAGTCACTCTTGCCGCTATCTACTACTTCAGCTCAAAGGAATTTCCCCCCTCCCAACCCATCTCCTACGGGATAGTATCTCCAGGGAAAATAAGTAGGTGAAAAGTCAAGCGTCCTCTTGCCAGATGTCCCCACCTTCTCCTTCTTATGTCAGCACTGGAGTGAATGCAGGTTGGAGTGCTGACACTTAGTGTTTTATGTGAGTGTAACCACTGGATCTGTCGAAAGATACTGTGTGAACAAAGCTGGCTTGCCGAAATTTGCTTGAAACTTTCTGCTTTTAAGATTGTTCTGAAGAATTAGGGATTTGATAAGTAAATAAATATCAATTGATCCATTTGGTTTCTACGTCTGCTTTTAGATCCAAAACATACGATGCGTCTGTCTCCAAAGACGTTGAGAAGGAAACAGTTTCTCTCCAGAGAAGGACTTCTGTCTCTGATGTAAGTTTGGGGTAGGTGAAGTTTCCTAGGGCCACCCCAATGATGATGTAATTGTCCTGATTCTACCTTTGCTTAAAGGCGTTGATTTCCCTGCTTAGATTTTCCAATCCACAAGGGCCAGTTTTGCACATCTGGAATAGAGAATCAAGGCTAGATTTGGAGGTGTCCTGTCTCCCTAGCTGCTTTTTCAGGTGACCCTGAGATTGATGGCATTCAAGATGTGCACATTTAAGCAGGGGTGAAATGTAAAATTTGTTGCTACTGGTTCTGTGGGTGTGGCTTGGTCGGGGGGGGAATGTGACTGGGTGGGCGTGGCCAACTTTTTTTTTTTTAACTTTTCAAAGCATTTTTTCTAATGCTTTGAAAAGCCTCTGCTGATCAGACAACTCAGCTGGGATCGTCAGACAGGCTTTTTAAAAAATGCCTCTCTGCCGATCAGGCAACTCATCTGGGATCGTCAGAGACTTTTCAAAGCATTTTTTTTACCACCTCTTTGGCCAAGAGGTTTCAGAAAAAAATGCTTTGAAAAGCCTCTGACGATCCCAGCTGAGATGCGCGATCATCAGAGGCTTTTTTTTTTACTTTAAAAGCATTTTTTCATTGGAAGAGGTTGTAGAAAAAATGCTTTTAAAAGTAAAAAAATAATAAAAAAGCCTCTGATGATCGTGCGGCTCAGCTGGGCATGGTGAGGGGGGGGCGCGCAGGGATTTTTGCTACTGGTTCTCCGAACCACCCGCCACCATCACTACCGGATCGGGCGATCTGGTCTAAACCGGGAGCATTTCACCCCTGGGCTGCCTTATCTATTGCCATTTGGAGGCAGCCCTGGCTCACCATTGAATTATTTCTGGTTTGCCTTTACGTAGTTCTCACTTAAGAACCACAACTGAGCCTGGAATTTTGGTTGTAAGTTATCGCAGTCATTAAGTGGGTCACCATGTGACCTGATTCAATTTTACAACTGTCATAAAGTGAGTCATTGTGGTCATTAAGCAAACAATTGTTAACCGAACCACGTGGTCATTAAGTTTTTGCCTGAAACTGCCAGAAACCAGAAAAATAAATGTTGCAAACCATGGTCATACTATGACCGCGGGATGCTGCAACCAGTTGTAAATGCAGGTCAGTTGTCATGCATCCAAAGTGTGATCATGTGATTATGGATGGGTGTGGCAGTCATAACTTCAAGGACACGTCAAAAATGACTTTTTTTTGAGTCCATCATAACTTTGAATGATCATTAAATGATTGGACAATAAGCGAGGACTACCTGTATTTGGAAGAACCTACCTTCTACTTAAGACTAACCTACATAAACCTAGCAGGAACTATTCTTAGATTTGTTATCTGTGCTAGAATAAACTTATTTCACTGGAGATTTTCATGGTCATGGAATTTTAATCTTTTCCTTCGACCCCCTTTTTTTCTGAACATTTATAACTTTGTCAGCGCCTTAAAATTTCAGTGAAGATGGCTTAAATCTTTCTTGCTATATGAAAGAAGGTGCTTGGGGGTAGAAATACATTTAAATCTGGACCGCACAAATCCTGATAACCACTAGAGGGCTATTAAAATACACCCAACTCTATGCTGCCATTTAGTGGGCATTTTAGATTTTGCGGGCTATCATGAAATCTTGTCATCCTCGTGATTATTTTAGTAGAATTACTGTACTTTGCAGATTGCTTGTGGTGAAAAACATTTCCAAAAGCTGTTGCAAACTCATTGTTTAGTGTAGTTTTACAGTAGCTTTAACCCAGTGTTTCTCAAACTTGGCAACTTTAAGATGTGTGAACTTCAACCCCCAGAATTCTCTAGTTGGCTGGAGAATTCTGGGAGTTGAAGTCCATACGTCTAAAGTTGTCAAGTTCAAGAAACACTGCCTTGGCTGTCACTCACCTGGCTTCAAAAAAATCTCTGTTCCGTTCCTCTCTTCCTTCAGTTCTACACTTAGTCCGGTTGTCCCAGCTTCGTGGCCCCCCCTGCCGCTGACTCATAGAGAGTTCCCTCTGACCTCCAAGGAACTTGCCTGTTCCTCTTGGTTGTCCGAGGCACCTCTCTTTCTTCCCTGTCCTTGCAGGACGGTTCCGGTCTGAAGACCCATCGGCAGCGGTTCGGCAGTCGGGGTTTTCGTGGCGCTCATCAGAGCCCGCTATTTCCCCGACTCTTTCGCCGCGACGCCAAACTGGAAGTCAGTCTTTTCAAACTACGTTCTATGGTAGAGGTTCCAACGTTTGAAAATGTTTGACAACCCTTAACCCATAGAGTGAAAACCCAGCATTGAACCTGTCTTTTGACCAAAATTATTTGATTAGCTTTGGACTGTGTAATCCCAATTACATCTAGAGGGAGGACAACTGATTGGGGCTGAGTGATCCATGATATGCACAATTCTCAAATCATACTTCCATTTGTACATGCTGAGACCAAATTTAAAGAATAAAAAATTATGTTGGTTTTGCTCATACATTTTCCCCAGACGGACACATTCCTTTTAAAGGAATAGAACATATATTGAATAATTGGCAAGATTTGTCAATTCTGCAGAGGTGTGGAGTACATTGGAATGAATGGAAGGGACTCAGAAGTGGGTTAGCAATATTGTTAAGGTAATTTGCTGAATCCAAAATATCAGCAAAAACATCGATGCTTGATCCAAGCCTTCCTTTGCTACTGTTGAATTTTGCAAAATTGACAAATGGCTTGGCAGATGGCATTTGTTTTTTTTTGTTTTTTTTTTAAAGTTAAACTCTGAAAATGTAATTGGTTTTCCCCTCTCAAGCTGGTGAAGCATGCCGTGAATTTCCACCGTGTCTTCAAAGATCTCTCTGAAGAGAGGGACCTCCTGGGAAGTAAGTGATTCCTGCAGGTTGCCATCCCATCTCTGTGTCTCTTAAGCCTCTTACATCAGGAAACATTTATTTATTTATTTATTTATCATATTTCTATGCTGCCCACTCTCCGAGGACTTTGTGCGGCTTACAACAATCAACAGTATACTAAATAGCATATTGCCCCCAACAATCTGGGTCCTCATTTTACCCACCTTGGAAGGACGGCAGGCTGAGTCAACCTTGAGCCGGTGAGATTTGATCCGCTGATCTGCTGAGCTAGCAATCAGCTGAAGAGCTGCAGTACAGCACTCTAACCACTGCGCCACCTCGGCTCCTACATGCTATACAGGTAGTCCTTGACTTATGACTACAATTAGGACCAGGTTTCCCAATGCTAAACCAGGCTAAGAAAATCGTGTCTGAGTTTATGACCAATTTTTTTGCCATGTTGTTAAGCGAATCACACGGTCATTAAGCGAGGGAAGTTTTGTGGACTTCCTTCATTGACTTTGCTCGTCGGATGCTGATTGAGAAGCTTGCAAATGGTGATCACATGATTCCTGGACACTGCAATAAATTCTGGTTGCCAAGTGCCCAAATTTTGGTCATGTGACTGTGGGGAGGCTATGACTATTATAAGTACATGACAGATCATAAATCACTTTTTTCAGTGCCATTGTCACTTTGAATGGTCACTAAACAAATGATTGTAAGTGAAGGACTACCTGTAACTCATGATGGACTGACTTCTCCAAGAACTGTTTCATCCACTCTTCAGGGATCTTCATAGAACAGAGGTCTCCAACCTTGGCAATTTTACGACTTGTGGACTTCAACTCCCAGAATTCCTCAGCCAGCATGCGCTTCTGCATGCTGAATTCTGGGAGTTGAAGTCCACAAGTCGTAAAATTGCCAAGGTTGGAGACCCCTGGATGTTAAAAGGAAGACATGGGAGGGTCTCTTTTCCAAGTCCACCCCAACGATGCCCTTGAAGTGATGTCCCGGTGCCTGGAGGCCATGTGGGTCTGGATGGGGAGGAACAGGCTCCGACTCAACCCCTCCAAGACCGAGTGGCTGTGGTTGCCGGTGTCCCGATATAGCCAGCTGGTGCCATCACTGGCTATTGGGGGCGAGTCATTGGCCCCCACGGAGAGGGCTCATAACTTGGGCGTCCTCCTGGATGCACGGCTGTCTTTAGAAGAGCATATGACGGCCGTGGTCAGGGGGGCTTTTTATCAGGTTTGCCTGATACGACAGTTGCGGCCCTTTCTGGATCGGGACTCCTTATGCACGGTCACTCACGCCCTCGTCACTTCTCGCCTGGACTACTGCAATGCTCTCTACATGGGGCTCCCCTTGAGGAGCACCCGGAGACTCCAGCTGGTCCAGAATGCGGCCGCGTGGGTAATTATGGGGGCGACATGGCGCTCCCATGTAACACCTCTCCTGCATGAGCTGCACTGGCTCCCGGTGGTCTTCCAGGTGCGCTTCAAGGTATTGGTTCTCATCTTTAAAGCGCTGCATGGCTTAGGGCCCGGGTACTTACGAGACCACCTTCTGCCACCGATAACCTCCCACCGGCCAATTCGCTCCCACAGAGAGGGTCTCCTCAGGGTGCCGTCGGTCAAGCAATGTCGACTGACGAACCCCAGGGGGAGAGCCTTCTTTGTGAGGGCACCCGCCCTCTGGAACAAGCTACCCCCAGGAATACGACTGATCCCGGACCTCCGTACTTTCCGCCGAGCGTTAAAGACCTTATTCCAGCAAGCCGGGCTGGCTTAAAATTTTAATGAGTTATTTTATGGGGAAAGGGTTTTAAAATTTAGGGAAGCCAAACTGATTTAATTCTGTTTTAATTCTTTTTAATTTTTATATTGTATGTGTTTCAAATTTTGGCTGTTCACCGCCCTGAGTCCTTCGGGAGAAGGGCGGTATACAAATTTAAATAATAAATAAATAAAGTCTGCATTTGCTGTTTTTTATCAGGCTGCTTATTATTAGTGGGAACTGTGAGTCTCTTTTCTGTTTTGTTTTTTACATTAATCCAGATTAAATCTTTTCCTGCAACAAGGTAGTGGATACTGTTTGTAGGCACTAAAAAAAAATTGTATAAACTACTTTTTTTTTTAAAAAAATCCATCGCTTGAGATCTCACTTTAGAACACAGCTCTCCCATAAGTTTTCAGCCGTTTTTTTTTTTTACTTTTATAAGTTTTAAAGAGATAACACTTTAAAAAAAAAGGATTAAAAAATGAGCCGTGGTGGCACAGTGGTTAGAATGAAGTATTGCAGACTAATTCTGCCCACTCCCAGGAATTCGATCCTGACTGGATCAAGGTTGACTCAACCTTCCATCCTTCTGAGGTGGGTAAAATGAGGGCCCAGATTGTTGTGGGCAATAGGCTGACTCTGTAAACCTCTCAGAGAGTGCTGTAAACACTATGGGGAGGTATATACTGTAAGTCTAAGTGGCATTGCTAAATGCTATGCTGTATTTGCCTTTGGAAATAAACAGATGGAATTTAGTCAGGGGTGGGCTGCTGGGGGTTCGCAGGGGTTCGGGAGAACCTCTAGCTAAGATTCTGTGCAGTTCGGAGAATCCCCAAATCCCACTCCTGGCTGGTCCCACGCACCCCTTCCCTCCCAGGAGCCCCCACGCAGCCCATTTTGGATGCAGGTAAGTGCAGAGTGCTCGGGGAGGGCGAAAAACGGGCCTACCGGAAGTTCGGGAAGGCCAGAAACAGGCCTACCAGAAGTTCCGGCCTCCAGAGGGCCTCCAGTGCCTGGGGAGGCTGTTTTCGCCCTCCCAGAGGCTCGAGGAAAATCTCCGGAGGCCAGGGAGATCAAAAACGCTGCCCACACACCGTGGTGCAGGAGGCCGTCTAGGCCACGCCCACCATGGCCACGCCCACCCAGCAACTGAGCAGAGAATCCCTTGCTAAAATTTTTGGAGCCCACTCCTGAATTTAGTGATGTGGCAGGTGTACCACACTGCCAATTCTCTCGTAATAGTTCTCATAGGCTTCTCACGTCAGAACGATGGAAGGTGTCTCATTGCTCTTTCGCTCCAGATGTGGGATTTTTGAAATCAATCTTTTTTTTAATCCTAGCTACCAGCCCATTGAAGGAAATGGTACCTTTCCTTCTGTTGGCTCATTGTTTGTGTCCCAAAAGTAAAACATGTTGTACATTACAGCACATGGGAAGACACAATTATTTTTAAGAAAGCAGCTAGGGAAGAGAATGGAAATTTGAGTTAGGAGTACAGGATGGAGCCTGTGTCATGGATTTTATGAGTGGAGCAGTCATCACACTGATGGAATATAATGTCCTATTAGATCCCTCCTCAGCTCAGAACAGCTTCTTAAATTCCTGAATCGCCTGCGATCCTCATTAATCCCGAATTCCTCATCTTGTTTCACAGCATTTTCGTGTTCCTGGCAACGAGAGATGCCTTATTATGGCCGCCTTTACGTCACTAACAATCATATCTGCTTCTACTGCAGCGTGCTTCGACGGGAAGTTAAGGTAACAATAGTAGCACTGCTTCAAAATTTTAAGTAGTCCTTGATTCGAATTTACAATGGCACTGAAAAAAGTGACTTGCAACCAGACCTCACCCTTACAACCATCGAAGCATCCTCCTGACCACGTTATTATCCAAATTCAGGCTCTGGGCAACCCGCATGTACAAGTAATCCTCGACTTACAACAGTTCATTTAGTGACCATTCAAAGTTACGACAGCACTGAAAAAAGTGATTTACAACCATTGCAGCATTTCCATGTTTGCAAGTGATCAAAATCTGGATGCTTGGCAACTGGCATGTATTTATGATGGTTGCAGTGTCCTGAGGTCATGTGATCCCCTTTTGCAAACTTTTGGGCAAGCAAAATCAATGGGGAAGCCAGATTCACTTAACAACTGTGTGACTAAATTAATGACCACATTGATTCTTGCTGCAGTGGCAAAAAAGATCGTAAAATGGGGCAAAATAAATGTCTCACTTAACAAAAGTCAGCGGGGAAGCCAGATTCACTTAACAACCGGGTTACTGACTTAGTGATTCAGTTAACAACTGTGGCAAGAAAAATCGTAAAATGGGGCAAAATAAACGTCTTACGTTATAACAACAGAAATTTGTGGCTCAATTAGGGTCATAAGTTGAGGACTACCTGTCTTTATGACTGTTCCAGCATCCTGAGGTCATACAATTACCATTTGCAACCTTCCCAGCCAATTATTGGCAAGCGAAGTTATCTTGTTAAAGATTTATCCAGCCTCAGACAGGCTTGAGGGAGAGATTTGATCCTAGCAACCACTCCAACCCTTTCACTTCTGTACTATGCAGGCCAGGGGTGAAATGCTCCCAGTTCAGACTGGATCGCCCGATCCAGTAGCGATGGAGGCGGGTGGTTCGGAGAACCGGTAGCAAAAATCCCTGCCCCCCCCCCCATGCCCAGCTGAGGTGTGCAATCATCAGAGGCTTTTTTAAAAAATTTTAAAAGCATTTTTTCTACAACCTCTTCGGCTGAAAAAATGCTTTTAAAAGTAAAAAAAAAAGCCTCTGATGATCGCACGGCTCAGCTGGAATCATCAAAGGCTTTAAAAAACATTTTTTCTACAACCTCTTCAGAGGTTGTAGAAAAAATACTTTTAAAAGCCTCTGACGATCCCAGCTGAGTTGCCTGATCGGCAGAGGCTTTTAAAAGAAAAAGAGCCTCTGCTGATCAGGCAACTCAGCTGGGATCATCAGAGCCTTTTGAAAGCATTTTTTTACAACCTCTTCGCCAAAGAGGTTGTAGACAAAATGGTTTTAATTTTTTTTTAAAAAAATGGCCACACCCACATTACCCCCCTACCAAGCCACGCCCACAGAACCAATAGTAACAAATTTTAGATTTCACCACTATGCAGGCTCTCTGCTTAGTCACGATGGCTTTCTGCAGCGTATAAAGGGTATAACTGAGCCCCAAATTTTTGTTGTTAAGCAAGACCGTTGTTAAATGGGATTTGCCCTGTTTTATGACTTTTCTTGCCACAGCTGTTGAGTGAATCACTACAGTTATTAAATTAGTAACCCGGTTGTTAAGTGAATCACCTTCCCTGTTGACTTTGCTTGTCAGAAGGTTGCAAAAGGGGATCAAATGACGCAGGGACACTGCAACCGTCATAAATACGAACCAGTTGCCAAGCATCTGAATTTTGATCACATGACCATACGGGGATGTTGCAAAGAAGTCTGAAGTGTGAAAAATGATCATAAGCCACTTTTTTCAGTGTCATTATAATGTTGAACAGTCACTAAATGAATGGTTGCCCTGGTAAGTTGAGGAGTTGAATAAGTTTATCTGTAAACCCAATCATAGTCATTTCCCCCAATGTCTCATCAGGAACAATGAAAAGTCGATCTGTGCCTCTGACTCTCTCTTTCCCACCATTTTCTCCGGGCAGGTTATCATTCCGGTGCCGAATATCAGTGTCCTAAAGAAAGCCAACACAGCCTTGTTGGTACCCAATGCCATTTGCATCCGTACGACTGAAGGAGAGAAGGTAGGAGACCCTTCGTCGCAAGATTACCTTGTCTGAATCAGTAGTGGGTTGCTATTGGTTCGGTCTGGATCTTGCGAACCGGTAGTAACGGTGGCGGGAAGCTCCGTCCACCCGCCCCGGACGTCATCACGGACGCTCTGCGCCTGCGCAGAAGCGCCGCGAGCGAAACAAGCACAACACGCGTACTCCCGTTGCGAACTGGTAGCGAAGGTAAATGGAACCGACCCCTGATCTGAATGGTAAAGCTAAAGACCAGACAAACTAAGCAATGGTTGTGGGCCAGGCCTTCTTTGGAAGAGAAAATTCAATGTTGTCTAGTCTTGGACTAAAAGTTGCTGAGACCCCAGAAATGGTTTTATCCCAGTTCGGACTCTTTCTCCTAACTATTTCCATCAGGGCCTGCTGCATAAAATAGATAGTCCCTCCCTCCCCTTCAGGAAGCAAAGTGTGTTCTCTCTGGCTGAATTTGCTTTGTGCTGCAACGTCCTGTTTGTCCTCTACTCTCTATTGCAGTTTCTGTTTAGCTCCATCCGGTCACGGGAAAGTGCCTACCAGCTCCTGCGCTCCGTTTGTAAACATCTCGAGGTAATTAAAGCTCCAGACTGGAAATGTTGCTGCATAGCTGTCCCAGATTATTTTTGCAATCCTCCCCCATCCATCCATCCCCACCCATCTAATCTCAATAGGCTCAAGGCTGTCAAGTGTGGCTTAATTGACTTCCTGCACATCACAAGATGTTAGAATCAAAATCAGAAGTAGACTGGAATTGAATTGAATTGAATTCTTTATTGGCCAAGTGTGATTGGACACACAAGGAATTTGTCTTCGGTGCATAAGCTCTGAGTGCAATTTTTTTTTTACTACCGGTTCTGTGGGTGTGGCTTGGTGAGTGTGGTGTGGCTTGGTGGGCGTGGTTTGGTGGGCATGGCAGGAGAAGGATAGTGCAAAATCTCCATTCCCACCCCACTCCAGGGGAAGGATATTGCAAAATCTCCATTCCCACCCCACTCTGGAGCCAGCCAGAGGTGTTATTTGCCAGTTCTCTGCCACTGCTCAAAATGTCCGCTACCGAACCTGCTGGATTTCACCCCTGTCTCAGTGTACATAAAAAATGCATTCCTCAGGAATCATAAGATACAACATTCATAGGATACTCAATAAGCAATCAAATCATACTAGGAAACTAAATAAAACAATATAAATCATAAAGATACAAACAACGTTAGGATCGAGTTGGAAGGGTCCTTGGAGGTCTTCTAGTCCAACCCCCTTCTTAGGCAGGAAACCCTATGCCACTTCAGACAAGTGGCTGTCCAATCTTTTCTTAAAAACTTCCAGTGTTGGAGCATTCACAACTTCTGGAGGCAAGTTGTTCCACTGGTTAATTGTTCTAACTGTCAGGAAATAATCCTCTTTCTCTTTGTGTTGCTTCCAGGACAGCAGTCAGAATAACAGTCCAACTGCACCTCCCATCAACTCAGACCATCTCCTGAAGGTACCCTTGGTATGTATGTTCAAGTCACAAATAATATAAACATCCCCTTTCACACATTTATATTATTAGGGAATAAATGGTTAGACTCATTATACTTTGTGTAAATCAGGGATGGGGAATCATCGTTCTTTCAAACGCCACATTGCTTCCAAATTATCTTGAAAAGCTTGCCTGGGCTGCAAAAATCTAGGTGGCCATGGGGTGGCAGCAAAGTGTTCAGATATTTTTTTTTCTACACCTTTGCTTCCCTCTAGTTGTCTCAGTTCTTGCAGCTCATATTTGATATAACCCCGCAATCAAACTGGCTCAATTATAGTACAGGTAGTCCTCAACCTACCACTGTAATGGAGCCTGCCCATCAAGGTTTTAAGTCGTGATGGTCACAAAATGTGACTGACTTGATTTTATGACCTTGTTTGTGGCAGTTGTTAAGTACCATATTTTTTGGAGTATAAGACGCACCTTTTTTCTCCCCTAAAAGGGGGTGAAAATTTAGGTGCATCTTATACATTGAATATAGCCCTGCCCACCAACTGGCCCTCACCCTTTGGCCTCTGCCTCCCAGCAACTTACCTTCTTGCGGCAAGCAGCAAGAAGAAACAGCCCATTTCAGCTTCAGCACAGTCTAATTAGCACAAATTGATTGTCCATTGGATAGGCCTCCCAACTCTCAGCTGTTTCAGGCTGCAGGGATTGCCATTGCCTATTGCTGTGCTGGCCTCTGCTGCATGCTGCAAAGAGGTAAATTGTTGGGAGCATTTTTTTTTTCTTATGCTAATCAAGCTATGCTGAAAACGAAAATGAAAGTAAAGCAGGCTATTTGCTGTTTGCTGCAATGAGGAAAAATTGCTGGGAGGCAGAGGCAGATTTCTTTTTCTTGTTTTCCTCACTAAAAAAGGTAGGTACATCTTATAGTCCGGAGCGTCTTATACTCCGAAAAATATGGTAAATGCTTAAATAAGATAAAGAATATGGTAGCAACAAGATCTCAATTTTTTACTTTTATATAATAATATAAACTAGCCATTTCTATAACATTAAACCTATCTAATCAACAGAACCCAAAGTCAAAGTTTCATTTTTTTTCTACCACAAGCACAAAGTCCAAAAGTGGTTTCCAAGTAGAAACAAAATTAGTTGTGTTCTTTTCTTTAATCAGAGCAGTCAATTTGGCCATCTCCGCTAACTCTATCAGGTTATAAATACCCCTAAAGAGCTGAAGAAGCTTCTTGGATGAGGAGCAAAACGTCTTCAAAGAAAAACCAGAAAGTCCAGTTGCCTCTTGAAAAAGCACCTTTGGGGTATCCCCAAGGAAATTCATTGTAACTTTGAATGGTTGCTAAGTGACCCATCGTAAATTGAGGATTAGATATTCCTAGTACAGTCCAATCTTTAAGCGAAAAGCTGCTGGATTATTCTGAACGATCTAAAAAGTCTTCCCCCAACCAATCTTCATTCTTCTTTCTTTGTAGAACTCTAAGGAATCAGATGCAAATTACAACGTTCCAGAGAAAACAGGTGAGTTTGGAGTTTTTTATTTATTTATTTTTTGCCAGGTTTTCAAAATAAATAAATATATGGGAAGGAATGGCAAAGTACTTCCATCTAAAGGCCAGGTCACCTTTCAAAGCTCATCTGAGTAGCTTTGTTGGACATGCCAAAACCCAAGACTGCCTCCATCCAATTGGTTGACTGTGCCATCAAATTGTCATCAACACATATAGATTTTCTCTGTGATGATCTTTGGTTAACCTGATCTTCAGGTCACCCAACAGTGCTCCCATCTCTGCTGCAACTAAGTCCGTCCACTTTAGTACTGGTTGTCCTCTATTTCTTTTTCTTTCCACCTTTCCCAGCATTATCGCCTCCTGGGAGTTCATATTATGCTAAAATATTTACAGTAGGTCTTAGGATAATGTGCCCAAAATATGATATTTGAATTTGGTCATATGTCGCTTGGACAAGAACTCTGGATTGATTTTCTCTGTGCTCCATTCGTTTCTCCACACACACCCCACCCTCCCCGGTTATCACAGTATGTTCAGGAGCCTTCTCCAACACTAAAGTTCAGTGCTTTCAGCAGTTCCAAGAAGGTTCCATACCCATTGTTGTGGCCCGCCAGCGGCCAGAGGAGCTGGCACCAAATTTGGACAGTGAGGAGGTTGGGGAGGAATATAGGCCAGTCCTGGAGTCTGGGGAAGGCTCTGCTGAGAGCTCTGTGCCAGAGGCAGAGAGGGGGCCAGGGCCATCTAACAGTTGTCAGCTACCTTCAAAGTCAGACATCAGTGAGGAAGATGAACAGATGGAGCCTGTTCTCAGTGTGCACATGCGCAGAGTTGCCAGATGAAGGGAACAGCTAAAGAACAAGGGTCGATTTGGGAATAAGGCCACAGGTGGATGATGAATGGCCCCTCCCAGAGGGGATAAAAGAGGAGCTAAAGGGGAGTGGAGTTTGCAGGAGGCAATTAGTTCGCCTTATTGGTTTGTGACTCTCCGAGACTCCTTGCCAAGTTTTGAAGATATCAGTCTGGCAGCTCTCCAAGCATGATAAGGTCTCAATTTCAATTCTCCCTTGAAAGACTTTGCTGAGTGTGAATGAGAGAAATTCACAGTAACTTAATAAAAAGGGATTTTTGGTCGGGATAAGGAGTCTGTTTCGTGGTTTGGGAACTGGGGTGAAATGGTCCGAACCGGATCACCTGATCCGGTAGCTATGGCGGTGGGTGGTTCAGAGAACCAGTAGCAAAAATCCCTGCCCCCCCCATGCCCAGCTGAACTGCGCAATCATCACAGTCTTTTTTAAAAAAAATTTAAAAGCATCTTTTGTACAACCTCTTCGGCTGAAAAAATGCTTTTAAAAGTAAAAAAAAGCCTCTGATGATCACGCGGCTCAGCTGTGATCGTCAGAGGCTTTTAAAAGAAAAAAACCCTCTGACGATCAGGCAACTCAGCTGCCGAAGAGGTTGTAGAAAAAAATGGTTTTAAAAGTAAAAAAAAAAAAAAGTTGGCCACGCCCACCCAGTCACATTCTCCACCCCCCCTCCAACAAGTCACACCCACAGAACCGGTAGTAACAAATTTTACATTTCACCAATGTTGGGAACACATAGGTCAGAACCCCCATTTGCACTACTCAGGTGACATTGAGGTCCCGGATAAACCTCAAAGTGGCCTCAATGATTCTCAGAAAGAGCGCTAACGACCAGATGGCTGCAAGGAATATAAATCCTTTCATCCTTCACCATTCAGGCAGAACTGAAGAAGCTTCTTGGATGAGAAGCGAAACATCTTCAAGGAAAATCAAAGTCCAGTTGCCTTTTGAAAAAACACCTTTGGGATAACCATGACCTGGATGACTGAGAATCGCCATAGACACTAAAGTTCAAATGCATCAATGCACTCTCTATTCTGCTTCTTCAGCGTCCAACTTTTGCTTCCATAGACTATCACAGGGAAAACTGCATAATTGCGATCTTTGTAGACATATCATAGCATCTGATTGATCTTTTCCAAGCCTTTCATGGCTACCCTACCAAATCTAGTCTGCGGCAAATTTCTTGAGAGTTGGTTCCTTTACTGCTGATCAGTGATTCTAAAAAAACGCAAATTGCCCACCACTTCATTGCCAATTGTCAGGCTGCGTGCTGACTGGGACTTGGGTTTGTTTCTTATTTAACAGACGTGGAAGACAGGATCCAGATACCTTATGAAGCGTCTTGCGAGCAGCAACAGCAGGTGACAAAACAGCAAAGTAAGTAACCGATCCTTTCAGTTTTGAGAATTGTGAGTGGGCAAAACGGGTCTGGATTTCTCAGTACAGTGGACAATATTTGGGAAGTAGGGAGAATGTTCCTTTTAAAAAAAAGCTGCCTTCAAGAGCCGCACAGGGTATAGTCATGGCTAAATGATAGGGGTGGGCTAAATTGGGGGCAAAGGCAAAAGAAATTTACTACAAGAAATTCTAGTAAATCAGGTTGCATGGAACTAATAAAGATGGGAGATGCAAATTTTAGATTGTATTTTAAAACAAAAACATTGGCCCACTGAAAATCAGTGGTTTGCTATACCATGTTTCCCCAAAAATAAGACCCTGTCTTATATTTTTTTGAACCCCCAAAATTAGCACTTGGCCTTATTTTCGGGGAGGTCTTATTATTTTGGGGCACATGGAGGAAGATGGGGTTCCTCTTGCCATCTTACCTGATTTCGAGCTCTGTGTTTAAATATTTTTTTGGGGGGGTCATTTTTGGGGGGGAGGCTTATTTTAGTGCATCCGCTCAAAAGCCCGATTGGGCTTATTATCAGGGGATGTCTTATTTTCGGGGAAACAAGGTAGAATTTCAGACACAGATCTTGGCAGATGCAGCGGTGTAAAAAATGGATCTCAGCTGCCATCAAGTGAACAAGTTTCTCCCCAATTGAACAATAACAACAATGGAGGAAAAATACTGACTGCCTTTAGATCACCGTAGTAATAGCAGAAGATCTGCAAACTGGAGTAATTCTGTAGATACAGGTAGTCCTTGACTTATGACCAGAATTGGGACCAGAATTTCCGTTGCTAAGCAAGGTGGTTGTTAAAGGAGCCACGCTTGATTTTACAACCTTTTTGTTACAGTTACGCGAATCAGTGCAATTGTTAAGGGAATCATGAGGTCACTAAGTGAATCTGGCTTCTCTCGTTGACTTTGTCAGAACTGGCTGGGAAGTCGCAAGTAAAGATCACATGGCCCAGGAGGCTGCAACCATTGTAAAACACATGCTGGTTGCCAAGCACACAAATTTTGTCCGCATGACCATGGGAACACAACCATGGTTGTAAGTGCAAGGACTGGTCATAAAGCCCTACATGGCTCAGGGCCAGGTTATCTTCGAGACCGTCTTCTACCGCATAGCTCCCAGCAACCGGTAAGATCCCACAGAGTTGGTCTCCTCTTGGTCCCGTCAGCTAAACAATGCCGGCTGGCGGGCCCGCGGGGGAGGGCCTTCTCTGTGGCTGCCCCAGCTCTCTGGAACCAGTTACCTCCTGAGGTCCGGACCATCCCTACCCTATTGGCCTTCCGAAAAGCGGTGAAGACCTGGATTTTCTGGCAGGCCTGGGGCCGTTGATCTCGCTTTGCGATCTGATGTTATCCGGCCATGAATGGTGTGAATGGGTTTTAATTGTTTTTAATTTTTAAGTGTTTTTGTAGTGATTTTTTTGAGTGTGTTGTGAGCCGCCCTGGGTCTTTGGAGAGGGGCGGCATATAAATTGAATACATAAATAAATAAATAAGTCACTTTTTTCAGAGCTGTTGTAACTTCAAATGGCGGCTAAACAAATGATTATTAGTTGAGGACTGCCTATTGTCAGCTTTGGAAGCCATATTAGGCCGGAAGCTTCCATGCTGCCACCTTCTCACGTGTGGGAAAGTAGGAGGGGGGATTTAGTAGAGGGATTGTCTTTAGACATAATAGCATTCTTCCTGCTGGTCAAGGTCAGGCCGATCCTGCATCTGGAGAAGGAGTAGTCGGAGTGCTGTCTCGAGATGGGACGGATGGTGATTGGAGCATGTGATCGACTGAGGAGTGAGGGGATGGTTTTGGGGGGTTTGATTTACTGAGGGAAAACTCGGAGATTCGGGTTTTCCCAGATGTGCCAGTTTACCTATTCTAGTAAACAGAACTTTGAAAAAATGCTTGCTTCAGAGTTTTTACTTAGAGTTGGGTTTTTTTCTGGCACGCTGACACTTAAGTGCTTTGGTAAATTAATTCATCTTGTGGTATTTAGCTCTGTTCCTTGAGATGCTCTTTGCAACCCATTTGCTGGGTGTTGTTGTCTTCCAAAACTAAGTAAAATTTCCCAATCCTCCTATTGTGTAGCAAACAAGGATCTGGTTATCTTTGTCACCATCTTGTAATGAACTGTGATGAACTTTCCTTTGGCAGAGGCAGGGCAGACAACGAAGTCAGTCGCCAACCGGAGGACTTCACTGTGCCGTTTCAACACAGTTATAACCATCTACCTCTTTTTGTGAGTCAACCTTAAAACCCTGCTGTTTGAAAAGACTATCGGGGCCATCTAGTCCAACCATCTTCTTGGTGGAGAAATCCAAATTTTCAGATAGAAAACTACCTAACCTCTTTCTGAACATCCAGCAAAGAAAGGCTCCTCTCTGCCTTATGGCTTAATTGGTTCAACTGTTGAACTGTTATACTGTTAAATTTAATAAATAAATAAATAAATACAACTAGGAAGCACTTTGTAACATTTAGATGGAATCTGTTTCTCTGCTGTTTACAACTGGTCTCTGGAATGCAGTACCCTGTTTCCCCCAAAATAAGACATCCCCTGATAATAAGCCCAATCGGGCTTTTGAGCGCATGGCAATAAAGCCAAGTGCTTATTTCAGGGTTCAAAAAAATATAAGACAGGGTCTTATTTCCGGGGAAACACGGTAGGAACAGATTCCCTGACAATCCGATTTTTATTTTTTTAAATCAGAATTGGGGGTAAAGGAATGAAGGAAAATGGTTCAGTTTTTTAAAATTTGTTTTATGCCACCCTTTTCACTGTTGCAGTGACTCTGGATAATAGCAATAGCACTTACTTATATACCACAGTGCATTACAGCCCTCTCTAAGCGGTTTACAGAGTCAGCCTATTGCCCCCAACAATTTGGGTCTTCATTTTACCCACCTTGAAAGGATGGAAGGCTGAGTCAACCTTGAGCCTGGTGAGATTTGAACTGCCAAGTTGCAGGCAGCCGGCAGTCAGCAGATGTAGCCCGCAGTACTGCACTCTAACCACTGCATCACTGTGGCTCACTGTGGACAGCTAACAATATAATAAAAAAGCTTAAAAAAGGAATATGTGATTAAAATGAAGATAATTAAATAAAAGGCTAAAACCAATTTGCTTTAGTCACTGTTACTCAACCTATTTTAAAGTCTGGATCTTATACCTCTTTAAAGTACTACAGCTTTCACGGCTAAACTAGGAATTGTCTCAGATGTTACTTCTTTTCTCAATGCTGACTTTTAAACAAGCTTTATCTGCATCTCCTGTAGGGTCGTTCTCCTACTTTGTTCTTCGGGCTACATTGGTCTGCGTATCATCCAGCTGGAAGAACAGTTGATTTCCATGGGGGCTTGGCCTGAACTGGACCTTCAGCATCAGTGAGTCTTTTGTTTCTTAATTTGAACAGGGTTAGACAATGTTGTATACAGCAGCAGCTCCCCAATCTTCCTGGTCTACGGACCGTCAGTAGAGATGATGGCGACAGAATCAGAATAGAGCTGGAAGGAATCTTGGAGGTCTTCTAGACCAGCCTCCTGTTCAAGCAGGAGACCCTATACCAGTGATGGCTAACCTTTTTGCCATTGCGTGCCAAAAGCGGGGGGAGCACGTGCACGTTCTATGCGCCCCGCCCCCGCGCATGAGTGCATAACCCCCCCCCCTCTGCTTTTGGCACGCTGGGCCCAGTAGACCCGTATTTTGCTCTCCCCAGGCTCCAGAAGGGACTGGAAGTCGGCAAACGGGCCATTTCCGACCTCCGGAGGGCCTCCAGGGGGTTGGGGAAGGCTGTTTTTGCCCTCCCCAGGCTCCTAGAGAGGCTCTGGAGCCTGGGGAGAGCAAAAAAACGGGCCTTCCAGGCCCTACGGAGGCAGGAAACAGCCTGTTTCCCTACTTCCAGTGGGCCCAAAAGGCCCCAAAATCAGTTGAGTTTGCGTGCCCACCGATACGGCTCCAGTGCCACCTGTGGCACACGTGGCATAGGTTCTATACCATTTCAGACATATGGCTGTCCTATCTCTTTAAAAACTCCAGCGATTGAGCTCCCACAACTTCTGGAGGCAAGTTGTCCCATTGGTTAATAGTTCTCACTGTTCTCCTTAGATCTCCTTAAATCTAGCGTCAGGGTTCCAAGTAATATGAAATCAAGCCCATATGAAATCAAAACTCCAAGGCAGGGTTCCTCATGTCATATTGGCACAGCTGGTGAAAACCCAAATCTGAAGTTCCCCGGGTTTTCCCCATCCAGTTCAAAATCCAGAATTCTTCCTCCCATCACACACAACTATCATATACCCTGATCAGGCCTTTCTCTCCATCCCGGATACCTCCATCAATGCCCCTCCAGGTGCTGGCGAGAGTGTCCTTGGTTCCTAGAAGAAAGAATGTTATTTTGGCTACATATTCCCCCAGCTATCTCTATTCCCCCCTCCCTTTCCCACAACTCCATCCAGCCTCACTGTGGCAACCCGAAGACGCTCAAAGATGGTTCCAGGGTTGACATCTAGGTTGCTTCTCTCCTTGATTAGATAATTTCACCTTAGAGCTCGGTTGCTTCTCTCCTTGATTAGTTTACTTGACCTTTTACATGACCTTTACTTTTTAGAATAGAATAGAATTCTTTATTGATCAAATGTGATTGGACACACCAGAGATTTGTCTCCGGTGCATAAATTCTCACTGTACATACAAGCAACAAATTACAAATCATGATCATATTCATAAATATATTCATCATAAATCGTAAAATATAACTTTCCAACATTTCTCCCAATTAAATTTCATCCTGTTCATTTTGTCCCACGGTTCAATCCCGTCTAGATCTTTCTGGGCCTTCTAAAATGGCAGCCACTCCTAGTTTTGTGTCATCTCTAAATAATCATCCTCTTAATCCCATTATTCAGATCATTAGCAAATATGTTGGAAGCTAAGACAGAGTCCTGTGGCATCTTTCTTAACTGGTTTCCAATCTGATATGGAAGCATTTGTACCGACTCTCTGGGTGTGGTCATTAACCAGTTATGAATCAGTAGGAGCCTCTAGCCTATATTTTACCATTTTATTCATCAAAGCATCATGAGACACTTTGTTAAATGCTTTGCTGAAATCAAGCATTCTCCCTATTAAGCTAATACTATTTCAAAAAGGGAGATAAATTTAGTCTGGCATAACTTGTTTGTGACAAACCCATGCTGGCCCTTGTTAATTGCTGAACATCCTTTACAAATGTTCACAGATATTTATCTGTGTAGACATCTAGTGTCTAGATGTCACGTCATCTAGTGTAGATGTCCAATCTACTGGTTTATAATTTGCCAGATTGTCTCTAGTTTCAAGCCAGGAATAACATTTGTGCTCCTCTGGTAAATTTACAGCTGCCAGATCAGTGATTACCTTCAACAGATTGTCATGCTCCCATCCTTGGCTTCGGAGGAATGTGGGGAGGAGCAGGACAAGGCAGCTAAGGGCCCCTCAGAATTGGGATGGCTTGTTAGCAGGGAGGAAATGGGGGCAGGATGACTGAGAGAAGGCAAGCAGTGGAAATGAGGAGCTACGGAGCTCCTTGCGATGAGCAAGGACCGCTCCCTCCTGTTTCCCGAGCACGGAGAGTGGAGAGAAGGCGGGAACAGCGCAGGCCGACCTGAGGACTTGAGTGGAGAGCGCCCCGCCCCTCTTCACAAGGCACAACTGTGGACCGAGATTTAAGGAGACGCTGTAGGGAGGGATATTTGTCAGGAACAACGCTCAATTAGTGGAGTTTTGTGTGCCGTTGCAGACGTCTGGTGTTTGCAGGACTGCTTGCCTTCTTCCTTGCTTCGTGGATTCATTGCTTCTTCTCTGCTTCGTGGACTCAGTGCCTTGTTCCTTGCTTCATGGATTCATTTCCCTGTTCCTTTGCTTTGCTGGGCTGCTCGCAGCCAGAGGCTGCTGTGTGTAGGTGTGAGCGTTTTGCTCTGGGACTTGCCATGAACGTGGGAGCATTTGGGAAAAGTTGGAGCATTAAAGGGGAGTTTGAACTCTTACTTGGCTGTGTGGCTTTCATGCCTTGCCCTGGGTCATCACACAGATCCTTCAAGACCCGCCTAGATAATGTTTGTTTATATATGTTGTGGCTCCATTACCGGAGCCTGTGTCATCGTCAGGAGAGGACTCCGAGAGTGAAGGGGAGGAGTTGGCAAGGCCTCCCTCTCCAGGACCCTCCTCTCTGGCAATGCCTTCGGTGTCCGCCGAAGGGCAAGAGATAGGGCCAGGGCCAAGCACGTCCATGCAGCCACAGATGGACAGTGATGAGGGTAATGAGTCTTGGCTGGACCCACGCCAGCGTCGCAGAGATAAGCGCGCGCAACAGAAGAAAGGGCGTGCCCAAGATTAGGTTGAGTCACTGGATCACACCCCACAGGATATAAAAGGGAGCGTGGTGGCCAGTCAAACCTTGTGACGAACAAAGCTGAAAGCGTCCACGCCATTCTGCATTGCCGGACTTTTGCTTTAAGACTTTGCTGGAGTATCTCTGGACTTGATTAATTCCGTAATTATTGAGCTGCTTTCCTTTGATGTATCAGAAGTGGGGAGAAGTTATCTCTCCTCTTTGTAAATAATAAACTCTTGGCAGGCAGCCACTAGGTTGATGCCAAGTTCCGTTATCATAAGGAAAAGGATTTTGCCGGCTGGTTTGGTCTTTAACTCCTGAACGTCTGTTAGTGTGTGTGCGTGGGGTTGGGGACAGAACAATATACTCAATGATTCTGAGTGTCTGAATTTGTGTGTGCAGGTAGTCCTTGACTTACAGTCACTATTGAGCCCAACATCCCTGTTGCTAAGCGAGACGGTTGTTAAGTGAGTTTTGCCTCATTTTACAGCCATTCTCGCCACAGTTGTTCAGTGAAGCCCTGCAGTTGTTAAGTTAGCAGCATGGTTGTTAGGTGAATCTGCCTTCCCCATTGACTTCGCTTGTCAGAAGGTCGCAAAAGGTGATCACATGACCAGTGACACTGAAGCCTTCATAAAAAAAATGCCAGTTGCCGAGCATTTGAATTTTAATCACATGACCGCAGGAGATGCTGCAAGAGTTCTAAGTGTAAAAAAAAAAAAAAACAATCATAAGTCACTTTGTAAAACTTGTAATTTCAAACAGTCACTAAACCAATGGTTGTAAGTCGAGGACTACCTGTATTGTCTACGATCCCAGAAGCCGTTCTGAAATTGCTCTTTTGTGTTAACAGAAAGACGCTGCTACTGCTTGCTATCCATTCTTCTAATTGTTGAATGGTTACCTCAAGGAAAATTTTCTTATTTCCTTGAAGGAAGAATTCACTGTCTTAATTCTTCCTTTAAAGAAATCGGATCCCCATGAGTGGTGTGGGTGGTAATACCTTCTCTTAGCCACCTTCAACTTAGTTTCTGTCACCTTCAGCTCGCTCTGTCTTGTTATATAACTATTGACAGAGAGGCGTTTTCTCCTCTGGTTTATGTGACGAGAGATTAAGATAGCCTGGCATGAAGACAGTCTCCGTATTTCATAAACTTGGCACAGGAGAGCAAAACTATCCTCTCTCATTTTGAAATATGCCTCTCTCTAACAACCTCCATCTGCCACATAAGAACAATCTTTATCCTTAAGTCATCCATCTTGTTAAAGTTTCTTCTCCACTGGGTTCCTACTCCAATTCCTTCTTCAAATCTGAGGCAATTAAGATGTATTGTTTGTTTAAATATAAAAATAAAAAAACTTCAAAAATTCAAATCTGAAGCAATTACAGGCAACCCTAAATTTGAAATCATTTGTTTAGCAACCGTTCAAAGTTACAACTTTTTTTACACATAAAAAAAAAATAGTTACGACCGGTCCTTGCACTTAACGACCATGGCAGCATCCCCAGGATCGTGTGATTAAATTTCAGACACTTGGCACCCAGCCTGTATTTACCACAGCTGGCAGCATCCCTCGGGTCATCTGATCGCCATTTGTGACCCTCCCAGCTGGCTTCTGACAAGTAAAGTCAATGGGGGAATCCAGATTTATCAATAGCCAGATTCACTTAGCAGTTGCAGTTATTCAATTAACAACAATGAACAAAAAAGGTTGTAAAATCAGGTATGACTCACTTAACAACCTCCTGGCTTAGCAGTGGAAACTCTGATCTCAATTGTGGTTGTAAGGGGCCTAAGACAACTGGCCATACCCAACTGGCCATGGCCAATTTATTATGGCCACGTTGCCGCAAGCCAACTCACCATGGGACAATTCAATTACTTTTATTATTGGTGACCACGTTTTCATCAAAATTATTGTAACTGGTATTTCCGGATTGACGTTTTTATTTTATTGATGGTTATGGTTCCATCAAAATTACTGTATTTTTCGGCGTATAAGACGCACCTT